TTCTTTATTCTACTTTGCTCATTGATATAATTATCAAATATTTCTTCACTACTGTAATCCATTGTAAGATGATATTAATCGAATACAACCATAAATAAAGCAAACAAACCTCAAAAACGAGAATAACCTAAAAATTTTGACGTAAATAGACACTATGCGTTGCGTAATACAGCTCCCTGGCTACCTTAGCTTTGCGTTCATTCTAAGGGATGCATAGTGCTTGTCACCACTGAAGTATCGTCTATGAATAGGTTTTTGGGACCCTGTGCGTCCACTTGCACTATGAGGCCTCAAAGTAATGTTTGTGAATACGGGTGTAAGTTTCTTGCGCTGGTTCTTCTCAGCACTGGCCCATTTATTGTCCCGAAGCAATGGTAGGGTTAATACTGGGACGTGTAAAAGTGCTTTTTCAAAAGCCTTGCAAAAATAAAATGAGTTTTGTTTTGGAACATGTTTCCAAGCTAAACGCCCTGTATAGACATAAATCAATGCTCGCTCCGAGACGGACAAATGGTAATTGATGTGAGAATAATATATTATAGGACCGGTGGTAGGTACGCGCCGTATTTAAGAGGCGCTACGGAGATACGCGGGCCGCGACCCACGATAGCGGCGCCGGCGCAGGGATTGTCAATGCGCGGCCGTGTTTTAATAAATACATTATTAATTTATTTGTTGCTAAAAGTACATACTTCGCTTTACGAATGCACCTTAGTTGTGACACGAATGGGAATCGTTCTCCAGCAAAAGACATTAAGTTTTCCATACATGTTAGCTAATTTAAAAAAAGATCAAACATCTAATACTCCTCATTTATTTGGAAGGGTGTCCTGAAGAAGGGTCAACCTAAGATCTTACATTTTTATAATCAAAGTTAATTTATTAATCCTATTTTTTAAGATAATAAGTTTTTAAGTTATCTCAAATGGGTAATACATTTCTAAATATACATTTTTTAAATCTACGAATTAAGTCTATTCTGGCGCTTAATTCCCAGTCCCAAGTAACAAAGTTGTTTCAAAATGAATTCGCCTGTTACAAAGTTATCTAATAAAATACGGAATTTCTTTACACAAAACTTCCATGAAAATAAAATTGCATGTATTCTTCGTCTTCACTTCAAAAAATCCTCCAGTCATCTGTGCTATTTGCAATATGGCTGATATAAATTCAAACTCCATCATTTCCATACATCGCGAAACACATTTTTCATTCAAATACTCGTAGTGGTGCACGCAAATGAGCCATACATTTACATGAGCGCACCGACTCACATTTGCTGAGCCAGTGAACGCAGAGCTTCGAATAAAGCTAAGCCACACACGGCTGTGGGCTTATTGTATTATTTGAAAATAAATATTCCTTTCTTTTTCTTTACCTTAGCTAACTAAACTGGCGCAAGAACCCAAAGTGAGCCTTGGCCTCCGAAAACACAAATTTCCACTCGCTCTTCATTCACGTAACAAAACTTCAACGACAACAAATCGCTGAGTTGCGACTTGCGATCCTCTCGAGTAATCGTTCTATCGAAATGACCCTTGTTTTTCAACATTCTATTTTCAATAGGATGACTTCTAAACGTCAACGGGATTTTGACTGTGTCAAAATCTCTGTATCAAAATACGTGAAATAATAGCCAGTAATTGTTAACGTGGAGATCGCGCAGGTCCTTAGCGACTTCGTCTCCCAAGCGGTCCTGGGACAACCAATGGGTCGACGACCACTTGGTCGTCCCAAGAAAGTACCTCTCCCATTATTTTTAGATGTCCGAGCCAAGGGGACTATTCCCACCTCTCGTTCCCACCGCTGCAACCCCTGTGTAGCCAGGATCTACAGCTTGACCGCCATAAAAAACCCAACCAATGAAGGTCAAGTTTGTCCCGGGGGAAAGTTAAACTGTCATTGGACCTGCAACGAAATTTATTGAAGGAGTTCGAAATTATGGTTCAACTTTTCTCCATTGCAAAGCGGATGACAGGTCCCAAGGGGAAATGCCTGCACCACGAGAGGTGGAAACTGAAAGGTAGAGACTTGAGGATTTAGGCCCTAGAGTGCTGGAGAGTACGCCTGGCCGTCAGCCAAGTTTTACGTCGCACCATAGATGCAGTTCTGCCTGTATAAGATTTGTCCGAGCCAGTGAGGTCTATGATCTTTTATTTCGCCAATAATGTTTGTTGAGGTATACCTAGTTTATTTATTAAACGAAGAAAGTCCAATAGCGTCGGTGTCGCCGATGGACTATTGTGACGAACCCTCTCGTAAGGGTTCGGACAAACCAACGCGATCACAGCGCGATCAGCCGGCGTGCAGCGATGGCGACCAGACCTAAATGCATTGATCGCCATCGCTGCACGCCGGCTGATCGCGCTGTGATCGCGTTGGTTTGTCCGAACCTTAACACAATCATATTAAGCTAGCTTTCCGACCAACTTTGAATTTGAAGCTCGTAACTTCTCGAGTTTAAATACCCATCTGTATTTACACTAAATACACAAGAAAATTGTCTGAACCGTGTAATTTTGTGTGTGATATGACCACGTTTTGGTTTACTTTAGCTTCGTTGTTTAACTTCAGTTTGTTTGCAAAGCTAACTTAAATATTATGAACGTCTCAGAATAGGCCTAAGCTTGTGACAGTTCTAAATCTTTAAGAGTAGGCGCACACCGTTGATTTTTCATCGGCCGATAGTTTAGTCGGGCAGTTGATCAGTATGGGCATGTATGGGAGTGCGCACACTACGCCGATTCGATTTGGCCGATTCTTCATACAAATTAAAATCGGGCACAACTATCGGCCAACTAAAAATCAACGGTGTGCGCCTACTCTAAATCTAACCAATCAGAAATCTGATTAATCAGAGATGGCTTTCTTCATAATATGTACTGTGTTGAATAAGGAGAAAGTCTATATTTCCTTATTGAACGCTGATAGCTTGTCTTAGGCTGATGATAGATTAATTTTTTTAATTTATTATTGTGTCAGTGGATTCACCAAGCTACCTGACTGGAACGTGTAAAACAACTTTTAGCCAATTTTTTGTTAAGAGCAATTGTATATCGGCATTATCGAATGATGGGTTAACCACCTATTTTAACAGACGTTTTCTTGGCTAAACAGTTACCAAGCCCACGATAACATCATAAAACTAATTTATTTATGCAAGTTGGCTTTTATCAAGAACTTTCGCATGTCCCAGTATCAACCCTACCACTGCTTCAGGACAATAAATGGGCCAGTGCTGAGAAGAAGCAGCGCAAGCAACTCAGTCACTATGTCAGCCTCTTTTTCAAGGGTTTCAGACTTTAAAATATACATAGTTATAAATATTTATGTGATATTCAAGACTTAGACAATTATGTATACTTATACTGGAACAACAACCCAAGATAGATCTCGCTCCAGCGCTCGGCATCCAGTTATTTACTTTGCATCAAATTATTTGAACCCTTGAAATATATGTATTTACATTTCTATTCGGCTCGATAAATTTTGAACCGATTTCTTGCGTAAAACATCAACCCTTAGAGCGCAAACAGAAATGGAAGCAGCAGGACCGATCGCATAGTAACGGTTCGTTATTTTACCAAGTAGGAGCCTTTTCCGATTAATATTATAATATATTTCTTTACCGTAATAAGTGTCTTTATTATGGAATTTTTTTCCGTGCTAGAATTGTGTCTTTAAAAGAAAAGTTAACTTTTATGAAAGGGACTTGAAATGATTAGTTAACCACAACAGCAATTCAAAATCGTAGTAATTTCTGTCAGCGGTGGAATCAAGCCTCCTGTCTATCTTTTTATAATAATATAACGTATAATTAAACTATTTTAAGCAAATTAGACTGTACCAAAATACTGGCTCAATGAAAGCAAGAATAGAGACTTGTAATATTAATTATAACGGGATTCATCCCAAATTCATACTTCTTTTATGAATGACTCTCCATTATATCTATGAGACAAGTACTCGTAGATTGAACCTTTTTGTATTTGTGTGTGTGTGCAAGTACGCAGAACTGACGGCCGATGGGGCATCAAGGTTCTGAAATGGAGGCCGCGTACCAGAAAACGCAGCGTGGGACGTCCACCCACAAGCTGGACCGAAGACATCATAAAGGTAGCAGGAAAGCGCTGGACGCAGGCCGCTACCAACTGGGTAACATGGAAAGAATTGGGGGAGGCCTATGTTCAGCAGTGGACGTCCTATGGCTGAGATGATGATGATGATGATGTGTGTGCATGAACATACCTTTTTGTATGTCTCCGAGTGTTTTCTTATAAATAAATGTAAATATAAAAAAATATGCACGATTACATAATTTCTTCTACTCATACATAAGTAAATAGAGTAAGTACGCGTTAATTTAACTTGTAGAAGGAGATACATTTGTTGTATGATTAGTTTCCTCCTCAACCCGAGAGACCAATTTAATGGTCACATTTTGCTTCTGGTGAATTGGAGAGAAAGCCATGTACACCTGTAATGTAGACTGAATGATCTGATAATTTTTACCCGACTGCGCCAGAAGGAGGGTTATGTTTTTCGAGTGTATGTATGTATGTATGTATATTTCTTTGGCACGGCCTACAACCGAATTTAGCGTGAGAGGTGTTGTTAGATTTGTCTTAATCGTGAGAGTGACTACATTAAAATTGAAAAAAAAAAAAAAACAAAATGGCGGATTTTAGGCGCCATAATGTCTTCAAAAAATTTTTTATTTTCTCAGTCTATCGAGTGGAGTATCAAAATAAAGGCCTTTTTAAGTAGCTTACAAAAATTTATGTTATTTAACTAAAAAGATTAAAATAAAATTATTATTGAATAAACAAAAACCCAACTGCGTAAAAATGAACTAAAAAGATAATAAAAACAAGCCTTAGTGTTCACTAAATCATTAACTTACTTTATTTACTAACATGCGTATTATAACTTCCAATTAAACTCAATCGCAGCGGCCCACGGTTGGCGGCGCCTGCGTCGTTATTTTTGAACTGCCGCGCAATCGGCCAGTTAGTCGCGCCACCGCCGCCCTTAACTGAAGTTTGCTTCTGTTGTGTTCCCACCACACCTGGATTGCAAGTAGGTGTTTTCATTCATATTTTTATACCAAAAGGCATTTAGTACTAAGTGATAAGTGGACTAAAATTATTTTTGCTTTGGTCTATTTTGATGACATCGTTATAAATAGGTTAATAGAACATTAGGTATTAAGATTAGGATGTTTTTGTTGGTTTAGTTTTAGTCGAACTCTGTTTTATCGATTTCAAGAGCGACAAATCTTACATCATTATTTTCAACATTTAAGTGGTATTGAGATCGTTTTAAAAAGATTACAATATACTAACACTTTAAAGATATCAATTTTACTAATAGTTCGCGCAATTTTCCAGTACCTTCAGGGAAAATGTTACGTATAGCTTATTTCATCAAATCCGGTTACAGGTTGCGAACCTGAGCTTGACAATGTTTATATGAGCACAAGCGTTTTTACTTTAAAATGTTTATGTATTATTCATAATTTATGTTTAATTGCTATTGTCCGCCATAACAAAGATTATGCTTTTTGACGATATTTCGTGAACTAACTTCATCTTGAAATTTTCTTGAATGGACTTATCATTTTCTTTTTCAAACTATGAACCTTTTTCTACAAAACTTTTTAAAAATGACTTTCTGCCCATCTCACTCACTCATCAATGAACAACTTTAAGAGTAATAGGTAGAGACGGACAGAGTCGATGTACTATCGACTAATTGATATCGATTTGCGGAGTCGACACCCTCAGGTCCCTCAGCTTTGATATCAGTACCAAGGTCGGCTGTTTCTGTTTATATAAAAATATCAAACGATTGATATGCCCAAGGCTAACGATATTTATTATCAAACTTATTTAAATTCTATCACTTCATTGGTTTTAAGACCAAATTAAACACGAAACTAGTAATCCCACATTATTGAAATAAAATTATATTGCATAAAAAGAAAATATTGTGTTGTTTCGGAGAGTACGATGGGATTGAAAGATTAGCCTTACTATCCTATCGCGACTGAAAAGTTAGGTTTTTTCACAAGTTTTACCAGAGTAAAACTTGTGAAAAAAATTGTAACCTCTTTTAAAAAACAGTAGATAGTAATCTATACTAGTCTATACTAACATTATAAATGCGAAAGTAACTCTGTCTGTCTGTCTTGCTTTCACGCCTAAACCACTGAAGCGATTTTGATGAAATTATAGCATAGAGATAGTTTGAGTCCCGCGAAAGGACATAGGATAGTTTTTATCCCGGTTTTTGAAACAGGGACGCGCACGATAAAGTTTTCCACGCGGGCGGAAAGCTAATACTTTATATTGTTATTAAATCATAATTTTCAATAACCAGGTACCTACAGTCGTCTGTAGGTAATATCCCGAAACATTTTTATATTCGAAAGATAAAAGAATCTCAATATTTCGTAGTAGGTAAATTATAATCAGTATTAAGAAATGTTTACATTTAGTCAGGTCAGTAATCAAAGTGATTGTAAACAAATTCATTCAAGTCAAAACATATTTTTTTCTTATTCATTAAGGCACTTAATTAAACAATCAAAATAACAACTTATTCTTTATTTACTGTACTATAGTTAATGAACAGCTCGTCTTAAGAGTAAGAGGTCCAGATACGTCTTAATATTTTTGGATCAGTCTGTCTCTATCACTCTCAACGAGATGGAAAGATGCAGTGAAATAGACTCGAAAATATGGATAAGGCCTTAGGGACTTCTGTTCTAGTTTAATTCTTCGGGGAAAAACGACATTTTCTGTATTGAAAATCTTGATCTGATCTCTCTGAGCTTTCTCTCTTGACAATTCAATCGCAATCATTCCATTATAATGTACCTACGCAATTTTTACAGTCAGACAATTTGGAGTTACTTGGTGTATTTTTATTTCTTTATTAATGTTAATGTAAATAGATACTGACAAGAGGTACCTAATTATGGTAAAACTTAAGCGCAATAATAATACTAATAATATGGGCGCAGTTACGTCGTAGTTAGATATCGCAGTCTGATTTGTTCTAATTTCTGTATCCATGAAAGATTAAATCATGATTTATGAATCTTTTGTTTCTAGCTGAAACCTCATTTTCTCCGTTTCAGAGTTTTGTTCCTTCAAACTTTCAGAACATTCAAACTAATATTATAAATGCGAAAGTAACTCTGTGTCTGTCTTGCTTTCACGTCTAAACCACTGAACTGTTTTTGATAAAATTTGGAATAGAGATAGTTTGAGTCCTGGGAAAGGACATATCGTTTTTATCCTGGTTTTTGAAAAGGGACGCGCGCAGTAAGGTTTTCAAAATTCCACGCGGGCGAAGCCGCGGTAGGAAAGCTAGTAGGTTATATGGGTATAGTTCCATGTTAAGGGTTTGATTACACCTAAAATACTAATGTAATTATTTTAACGCAATATCCTAACGGTACATAATGCTGTACACTACGAAGCTGTTAATGACTAGATATGTTAATTGCTAAGACGTGTATAACACCTGAGTCGGTGTAAGGCGCCTAATCCATAATGTAGCTTTAACTTGCTTACGAGATTACATTAACTTGATATTTGAGTAGCAAGAGGTACTCATTAAGGTAAGAGGTAAACATATTTGTCTCGAAAACTGAGCTAAGTTTATTTTAATTGTCTCAAAAGTATTTTCAGTTAGAATTAACACATTGTTTCAGTATAATCTTAGAAGTTACTCAATCATCATGTAAGTACACTAAGTGCAGTATTTATTTTACAGTGTTCAGGAATTTCTGGAAAAAAATTTGCATGTTAATGTGTTTTAGCAGAATAGAGCACTTTGTATTTACAATACTATCTGTATCAACCTATACTTTGCAAATAAATGTCTTTGTATTAAATAGTTACTGAATATTTAATACTGCATGTAGTGTACCTACATAATGAAAGTTATTTCTGGAACTAAGTACTTTTCTGTTCCCGAGTGTTAGAGGAAGAGGAGATTCTTTTCCAGGAATTTTATAAATTCCCCAGTGAATGGAACGTATTTTCAAGAAAATTAAAATTCAAATGAAACTGAGGCTAGTTTGCATCTTTCCGACAATACTTAATGACACTGAAATATTTAATTGAAATTGTTCAATTATTTTGGGAGGTATATTTTTTCGAATCATTTTGCCTATATTATGTATAGGGGGAGTCTGGTATATTCTACTGGCTGCTATTGTACCACATTCATATTTCGTATATTGTTTAAGTGGCAACACAGTAATAAGCAAAAACTAACGTGTGTCACCGTTGCAGCAATTTAAAGATTAATCCACTAAATATTGAGGTGGTCCAATTTAGCAGCCTGTCCTTTGAACCAAACTTTCCTCTGTACGTAACTTGAACACTAAGGCTGGGTTGCACCATTTTACTTTAACTTTGACAAACGTTAAAAATCTGTCAAACTCCATACAAAAGACACCGGTTATCGTCATAGTTACGGTCAAAGTTTGGTGGTGCAACTCAGCCTAAGTATGCAACCCGTAGTTCGATATAGTACATGAGGGGGTCTTTAATAGCTGGTTGTCACTTAAATTAAAAACATCGAAGCTTGCATGCTCCAGTGATAAGTATGAATTATGTAACTCATTTATTGAGACGAAAATAAAAGCAAGCGTTATCATTATCACTGAGGGCTCGCTCTAACTTATTGATAAGAATATTTTTCTCTCGATAACTTATAAATAAAATTTTACGATCCATAAACAAAGGAGATAGGAGCGATTGCGAAACATGTGTATGTGACATACTGATATAATCTGGGAGGAGAAATTAATTATGTAATATTATCATAATGGACCAGTGAAGCAGTAGGCTTGGATAGAGCTTTTTTTACATTGATATTGTAAGCCATAGTACCCGTAAGTGGGAATTTATTTATTTATTACATATTTCATAATAGTGTCGAAAATCCTCTTGAGACACTATTGTTCTCTATACAAATATAATAAAAGTTTTAGTATAAGCAGAATGATACGAAATGAAGTTTTTAGATTGTGTTGTAAATAGATATAGGTGTGGAAAAGATTTATCAAACAATACAATCATTTAATAAATAATAGAAATATTATTTTGGACATTTTTATTTGTTTATCTAGTGCCAAAATAAACAAAGCCACATCATTTATAAATGTTGTAAAATTAGGACAAAGTAAATAAATATCTGTATCAAAAACAATAGTAAGTTTTTGGGAACTTATGACTAAACGCGTCCAATGAACTCATTGGATAATAACTTAATTTATTCTATTGTTATCGGATAGAAAGCACTGATTTTCCTTCCACTATGGTTATAACTAAGTTCGAGTAAAGTAGGGCGGAAGCACAAGTTTCCGAACAGGCAATTATCACCGACGGATGCAGGAGAAGTTATGATTTGGGAACGGCAATAAAACAACTGATTAAGTACTTTGTCTTACTAGCAATAACAATGTGATAAAGTAAATTTGTTTGTCTGTTTATTGCTGAAGTCTGCAGTCACATTAGAACTTGGCAGTAAGGCAGACAAATCATTGAAATGTATGGATTTTCATTGATAGAGTTTGCAGACTGGGATGTGAAAAGATTGCTTGAGAAGTTTTTTTCAGTTTTTTTTTTTTTTTTTTTTTTTTTTTTTTTCCACAACGAGGAAGCTCTTGTTTTAACTTCATTCAGCTTTTTTTAGTGTACTCGTAGAGCTTAGATTTTAATGGCCTCTCCTTTTAAAGTTAGTTACATGTCCAGTTTCAAAGCTAGTGCAGGATGCTTAGGATTCTACCAGCTTTCAAGTTTTTTTCATTGGGCAGTGTAGTATGCTTTGTGATGCCGAGCGAAAAAGGCATTTGCGAATAGCATGTTACTTAGAGATAGTTTGGTGGACAGCATTAAGTTAAACGATTTGCCATCTTGTTCATGTGTAACTTAGTTTTTGCAACAATAAAAGAATTGAATGTTTTTTATAAAAATATGTTAGTAACTGGAAAGCAGTTACTTGAAGTGACCACTTCGTTAATTAATGGATTCACGTTTATGTGTCTAGATCTGTATTTACACACACAAGTCATTTAGTCCCTACTACAGGATAAGGACTGTCTCTTATTTACCAGAGCTTACACTTCTCATGGCACAGCGCTGGCCGAGCATATTGGGGAGGCCTGAGGCCGTGGTCGCCATTCGAGAACATTTAGACAAAGGAAAATTCTAGAACCTAATGTACTTTCGTTGTTCACAGTGAGCGAGTCACCCACGACTCCGGACGTGGAGGCGGGCGCGTCACAATGCGGCGACGAGGAGAAGTTTGACCCTGACTCCAGGAATGGCCACCGCCGGATCCTGCAGAGGATCGAGACGGTGCCTGACATCAAGAAGGATACCTCTGGGATCACTACACAGTATATCGCTGCGGGTATAGGTAGGTGTTGTTTTACTGTCTCTTAATCTAGAGCCTGTTTAAGACGAGAGCCATATTGTATATGGCTCTCGTCTTAAACAGGCTCTAGATTACTGTAATAGAAAATACTTATACAGAAGCTCACAGTTGCACAGCGTGCTATGGAGAGGGCTATGCTCGGTGTTTCTTTACGAGATCGAATCAAAAATGAGGAGATCCGTAAACAAACTAAAGTCGCTGACATAGCCCGACGGATTAGCAAGCTGAAGTGGCAATGGGCAGGGCACATAGTACGCAGAACTGACGGCTGATGGGGCAGCAAGGTTCTGGAGTGGAGGCCGCGTACCGGAAAACGCAGCGTGGGACGTCGTTGTGCATTAGTTTTTACATAAGTTCTCTTCTGCATTCTACAGAAGCTGCGGGCCCGCAACCGCCGCGGGCGCGGGTGAAAATCGCGCCATGAGTTTTTAGCCTTATAGTTGGAGGACAAGACTAACTTAGGTCGATGCGCCAGCATAGTTAGTTAGCGACACACTTTATGCAAGAGGTATACAATTGAAAATATAAAACTTAATTATTATTTCCAGTGAATCTTGGCGCGTTTGCGGCCGGTGCTTGCATCGCGTGGTCTTCTTCGGGGCTTCCTCTACTACATCCTCTGTTCTCTTCTGACGTAAGTTTTAGTCTATTCACCAATCAAACGTTAGAGAGAGCTATGCGAACGTAAAGCCTGATTTGAACGTAGAACAAGCTAAAAGATCCGAGAGAGAGAGTCAAGTGAGAGCCTAAAGTCGCAATAGTCTGCTAGTTTTCATAGATCTATACTATACTATAATATTATAAATGCGAAAATAACTGTCTGTCTGTCTCGCTTTCACGCCTAAACCACTGAACCGATTTTGATGAAATTTGGCATAGAGATAGTTTGAGTCCCGGGAAAGGACATAGGATAGTTTATATCCCGGTTTTTGAAACAGGGACGCGCGCGATAAAGTTTTTCTGTGACAGACAAAATACCACGCGGGCGAAGCCGGGGGCGGAAAGCTAGTGGTAAATAAAGACAACAGTATTTCAGGCTGATAAATTGTTACAGCATGGCGTCTATTCCAACTGCATAAGATGCCACAGTGTTAAGCTTGATGTGCTATCATACGTACCTAAGATATCAAGGGCATACATTTGAATAGGTCCATTCATTATTAAAAAGAAAATTAGCGCAATCTGAACCTTATTAATTTAGAATTTTGGGAGGTAAATCAAAGTTACTGCTACGAGCGATAGTAAATTTGTTTAAAAGTTATTTGCAAACCATCAAAGTAACGTAAATAAAAAAGTTAAATAATAATGTTAGGTTAGGTACTCCAGTTTCGGCGCCCTAAAATAATCCACCTTCTCTCCCACGAAAGAGTTGTTTCGGCGATTTATAATTCTGTGGTAATAGGTACAGTATGTTTGAATAAAAACCCGTATTTTTTCATGAAAAAAGATTCTGTAATATTTTATTCTGTTTGAAACACAGATGAATGGAAATATTTTTGGAAATGTTGCGCCGTCACTCTAAAATGGTCAAAAGTTTGGGTCAGATAAGAGTGCTTTAAAGTTTTTCTGACAATTATTTTAGTAAATATGAGTGGCAAAAAGACTAAAACCCGTATTAACAAACGATACTTGCCTAAGTGAAGCAGCAAATCGAACGCACAGCGTTGAATAGAGCTCTGTGATTGGTTCGTTTGTCACCCTGTGCGTCTACGCGCACTGTGAGACCTCATAGTAATGTTTGTGAATACGGGTGTTAGTTTGCCCGTTTTCACCATTAATCCCTAATTTTTAAATGACTCCTATGAAAAAAGGTTACCATAGGGGTCACTTAAAACTTAGGGATTGATGGTGAAAACGGGCATTAAACTATTTAAATGATTGCATGGAGTTGAATTAAAAACTCTTTTGGTTCTAATCTTTTACTAAGTTCTTACTAACATGAGCAAAACCTCTTCGCAATGCTTTATGTTGCTTTTTTGGTACAAGTCCACATTAACAGAGGCGCTTGGTGGCTCAAAAATGTACAAAGAAGATACATGCTTTTAGTTTCAGCTTTTATATTTTATAACACGGCGTCGGTGCTTCCGTGCGCAACTGAGTTACGTCATACAATATTTGCAGGCTTTCTTTGAAGTAAATAAATAGTAGTGGATTTTGTGAGACCAGCTGAGTGGCTCAGGCTTCGTTTCCTCAGACACCAACTAAATAGTAATGAAGAAAGAAAAAAATTCTACCTATATTAATTCATTTTTTTACTCAATCAAATGAAAAACATGGAAAGCATTGGGGAAGGCCTATGTTCAGCAGTGGACGTCCTATGACTGAAATGTTGATAATGATGAAATGAAAAAAGCTAAACGGGACTACTTATTTCCACCTCTCGTTCCCACCGCTGCAACTCCTGTGTAGCCAGGATCTACAGCTTGACCGCTAATATAAACCCAACCAGTGAAGGTCAAGTTTGTCCTAGAGGAAAGTTAAGCATAGTTGAACTGTCATTGGACCCGCAACGAGAATTTCCAAATCTTGGCTAAATCGGTATTTAAATAGCCCGGTGGTTATTGTAAGATTTGTGCAATTTGTACAATACGCAACACCATATCACTTCCTTGCCTACACATTTTGAAGGAGTGATGCCCGTTGTCACCATCAATCTCTAATTTTTAAATGACCCCTTATGGTAACACATAACAGGAATTTTGTTTTCATAGGAGTAAAAAAAAAACTCATAAAACTAATTTATTTATGCAAGTAGGCTTTTAAAAAGCACTTTCACTTAAAAATAGGGATTGATGGTAAAACGGGCATGAGTCTACCAATAATACACTTGGCGCTGCAAACCGAGTTTGAATTGGTAGCAAAATACCACCCTATCTAACGCACGTCTTGGTCTCACGAGCTCCCATTGCCGGGACGCGCCCTTACACGCAAAGGAAATTACATCACTTACGCCGTGGAGTGTACGCGCGAGCTTGGGCCGTTCATAAATAATGTTTTCATTAGGACTCGCCGATAAATTAAGCTGGCGGTTAGGCCTTGTCCGCACTTTGTCGGGGCGGTACAGACGGGCGGGTAAGTGTTATTATAATGAGGGAGTAACGATAAAACGACGGCTTAGTGGTGACCATCAGTCTCAGGGCCAGAGGCTCCGAGTTTGATTCCTAGTGGAAGCAATTAAAAAAAATATCGCAGCGTGAAAAGTGTCCTGGAAATTATTTTCTTATGAAGTGCGTGAACCATCACAATAAATGCTGTGTCATCTCATCTTATAAGGTTAAGTTATGCAACAGAAATGTACAGTCTAACTGCCTTCGACCAGGCCTGTTCATCTCCGCGAGTTTACATCGAAAACAAAACACGCACGATGGCCCACCTACAGGACAAGGCCTCACATAATAAATAAATAATAAATAATATCCTTGCAGTTAGGTACTGTGCAGTATTTAACTGCCTAAATAATAATAAAAACACAGAATGTATTTTTTTAAGTTGCCTCAAGACACTGAGAGGTAAATAAGTAGTTAATATTATTCATGATAATTTGTATTTCTTCCGCCATTTTCCGCAGTTTGGCACCTCACGTCACATCATTTTACCGAAGTCAGCCCTATAGCTTCGGCGCAGTGCCGATCACTGACGTTTGTCAACAAAATAGTGCTTGACTCTAGAGACAGGCTAAATTACACCATATTGTTAATGACATTGAGCATACATTTTTTTAAATACCTTCGCGAAGTAAAACTTCCGTACGTAGTACTTATTATTATTCTGTGCTTCGACTTACATAAGACTGTTAAGATCATCCACGTGTTATCACGTAGAGATGGATCAGCAAAATTTGAGCAGCACGAGTCGAACGAAGAACTTTTAACTGCTCAGATTGTCATTCGATATTTACATGAACTTAGCAAAAAAGTGACCAAGTTTAGCGTCACATCACAATCCTCAGATCTGATTAATAGAATAGAATAATTTTATTTGAGTACTTACATGAATAATAAATTAACGTTAATGATACCATATCAGCGTTTCAAACGCCCGTCTGCATACCCCAGGCGAAGATACAAAAGCCAGCAGTTAATGAGTCTTAAGTACAACTCGCCTACAAGTTTGTTTTAAATTAAATTCCATCCAAAAATTCTGCGAAATCTTTTGTTTTCAATTCAAATTTCACGATTTTGAACCCGAAGACTTCAAAAGTTTTTCGTTGAAATATTTGGACGCAACAAAATTACCTAATCAATCATTCAGTGTTAAGAATAGGCCTTTCATAAATTGCAAGATCTTACAATGAAGTTAATAAATAAGAAAGTTTGTAGAAGTTAATTCTACAATACTTTATTATCCATTCTTTTGTTGTTTTGAACGAGAAAACAAAAATACCGAAATATTTTCTTAGTAAAACCAAATTCATAGTATCCCAATAAAGTGGCACATTTCTGGCCGCAAATAAAATGTCCCATAAATATGAATACAGCTGAAACTGGCGGATATTAGACTTGGTACCAACTTGCCGACAAGGCGTAGTATAGCAAGAGCAGACAAGTTACAAAAACGTGTCATTTTTTATTTCGAAATGGCTTCATGGAGCGAAGTAATTAAACGTACGTAATTATATGCAAAAAATGCCGAAGCGCAGTGATTTCAGAATTACAACTGTCACGTTCTGTAACTTGTCTGAGGAGAAAGCAAATTTATTCTGAATCATGAAGCTTATTAGCGAGAAACATGATGATTCGTTTTCTACTATTTGACTCTGATAAAGAAATGTTGCATTTAAAAAAAAGAAATAGACTATTACATGTATTATTTTTGTGAAAATATTATACTATCCAATGACCGAAATTACGGCTCTTCTCAAACTGAAATTGATCAAGTCTTCCCCCGAAAAACAATCCTCCTTCTGGTGCAATCGAGTAAAAAGTATTTGCGGCCAATGTTACAGCAGAATGTAAAAAAAAAAACAAAAAAGCACACATTTAAGTACAACTAATAGAAAGGTCAAAAATCATAATATAGCGTCTGTTCTTTTTGAGCTATTATTAGTCAAAGGAACTTCCATATAAGGCTAATTACTCTTCGCAGACATCGCAACTCTAAGTAGACAAACAGGCTGGAAGTTTGTATCGGGTTGGCAATTACGTGTTTGCAAGTACGCGGCAATGTACTTGTTTCACTACTGGGACTGATACTGGTAGAAGTTACGTTACCTTAACGTTACCATTACCAGGTGAACCAACGTGACCGACATAGCTCGCAGAATTGCTAAAATCATGTGGCAGTGCACGGGGCACATAGCTCGTAGAGACGATGGCCGTTGGGGCAGAAAAGCTCTCGAGTAGCGACCGCGGGCCAAGATGTAGCGTGGGCAGGCCTCCCACTAGGTGGACCGACGATCTGGTGAAGGTCGCGGGAAGAGCCTGGATGCGAGAAGCACAGGACAGGTCGTTATGGAAATCTTTGGGGGAGGCCTTTGTCCAGCAGTGGACGTCATTTGGCTGAAAGAACGAACGAACGAACGTTACCTATAACAAAACAAGATTGATTTGACCAGAAAAGATTTACTGATTCGGGTACGATTTGCTTTACAAGAGACTGCTTTGATCAATTAACACTGTACCATAATATTGACCAAATAAATGTAAATGGCAAATTTAAAATAAATAAATAAATCTTACCACACTTTACGTGTAAATTGTTGACAGTAAAAATGACGTAAGTAATCTGTGGACAATATCTGCCGGGTTAAAAAAAACTCAGAAAACTCATTTTATTTTTGCAAATAGGCTTTTAAAAAACATTTTTACATGTCCCAGTATTAACCCTACCACTGCTTCGGGACAATAAATGGGCCAGTGCTGAAAAGAAGCAGCGCAAGAAACTCACTCACTATTTTGTTTTGTGTCACTATGATTAAGTTAACTTTTTATTTTTATTCTCTCGCACGTAACGTAACTGAATTATAACCACTTGTATAACTAAGAACTGCGATGTAAGAGATTACGATTTTAATTACTATATTCCGTGCACGACATCCTCTCGTTTTGAGTAACTCAAAGTTTAAATATACTTCTTAAGTGGTACATAAATTCCCGAAGTTTCTGGGCGTAAATATCAAGGCTACAACATGTGTCCTCGGTCTCGACAATAAAGTATTAAAGAGTTTTGGCGACCGCAAAAATAACTCAAAGTTACTGAAAGCGCAATGCAGGTGGCATAATTGCGCCTCGGGCTCAGTTGTTGTGCCTAAGGCTCGCCGCACGAGTGCGATTGAAGTCGTAGGTATAGTAGGCTAGCACTTTTGAGAAGCCTTATTTAAAAAAAATGTTTTATTGGGACAAAGAAAGTAAATGTTTAAAGTTGTACTTTAGTCTCATTATCAATTAAGTCTTATGATATATCTCATAAAAAAGTCACGTTTTCAAGACGAACCGTATGACTTGCACTGTGAAAACGTTTTCAGATCTCATGTAGCGTCAAGTTCCTAACTCTACACCTTAAACAAAATGTATGGCCCATGGCCGTTTCACTGTCGTCATGTGGGCAAAAGGTGAAAATATTCATTGTTCATTACTTTTCTGTTATAGTTACATTAGTTTTTGTAGCAACGATAACGAAAAAAAAAACGTCAGCAGGACTTTAGACGGTGAAGGTGTTGGACTGGCCGACTCGAGATCCAAGTTCGCCCGAGTTCCAACCTCGCGCCGCTGGACTATTGTACTTAGTACCGAATCCACGGACTAAGTATTATTTAAAAATCTTAAAAAAAATGTTGACCTACATAACAAATATCGCACTAATGTCGCCTCCCTAACTCGCCCGGATTATTGGGTTCGCCCCGATATGAAAGTTTTAGTAAACATGCGATATGACCAACGGCGCGATTGCTAGCTTGAATATTTCATTTTCAACTGTTCATTTGCTTTATACGACTATTTGGTTAATAAAAGTTACATTCTAATAGACAATGGTATTAGTACTTTGTGGTGCTTCGTAACTTCGTGAATTGGAAATTTGGTTAAACTACGCAGCGCTGGTTTTATAAAATTCATGAATAACTATGGGTTCATCGTGAAAGCTAGCATTTGGTTAAAATGCGTAGTAATTTTGTAATATTCATAAAAGATATTGGAGACATTGTTTACATTTCAAATAATGGAATGTATTATAATTTTGTATTGTCTACCTTTATTATAAAAAAATAAAGATATTATTTTTGTTGAATACGCCTTGAGTACCTACTGTTATTACATTTATTGAATGTCACCTAAATTTTTTATCGTTGATACTACATATATTTTTTAACTAGTAGGTATTACGTATCTAAATGAACCATCTCAATCTATACTAATATCATAAATGCGAAAGTAACTCTGTCTGTCTGTCTTGCTTTCACGCCTAAACCACTGAACCAATTTTGATAAAATTTGGCATAGAGATAGTTTGAGTCCCGGGAAAGGACATAGGATAGTTTACAGGAGTTACTTAGTAAAGGTTTTCTGTGACAACCAAAATTCAACGCGGGCGAAGCCGCGGGCGGAAAGCTAGTAACGATTATAATAAAGAACTAATTCAACTTAAAATTAGTACTTTGTAATACAACATTACGTTAAAAAGAAAATATCTAGATATCAATTTAGTGAGCCTGAAAGTGAGGTTGAACATAATTTTCTCAGTTTTTCTAGACGAGAGGGCTTATCCAAAAAAATATGTGAACACTGGATTCACGATATTTCAAGTGCTTTTCAGTAATTGACAGTTCGTTTTTGCTTAGATCTGAAAGTCAGCAGAACGTTTTTTGAAACATTAGCTAAGCCTTAAGACGCAGACTGAACGTGTAATTTATTTGGATTTGTTTCATATTACGACTTTTATATCTTTGTGTGTTGTACAAGGCTATTTGTATTGCTTGGAACATCAAATATATAAATTGTTTTTTCCATAAATCTCCACCATCGAGACTGAAAACTATGTTTTTGATTTTTTTTGTAGGGTACATAGTTTAATTCACTTACTTTTATGAGCCGTCAAAATACGTTTCTCCATAGAATTTTTATGGCAAAACGCGAGTTTTGTATCAGTTTTCAGAGCTATTTATAAATTGTCTTTAAGGCTGAGTTGTACCAACTTACTTTAGCCGTAACTATAACAATAACCGGAGTATTTTATATGAAGTTTGACAGATTTTTGACGTTTGTTAAAGTTACAGTAAGATGGTGCGACTCAGCCTAACAAGTTATGTCTTGAAATTCCTAATGGGGTCAACTGCCCATTATAATATGATAGAGCCACATCCTAATTCCAGGATTCAATTGTTACACCCAGTTGACATTGTAATTCCGTTGTTACAGCTGATGCCAGGTGTGGCACAGACGAACGACACCTCCAGCGGCACGCACCCACGGCTTGAGGTGAGGACTTTATACTGCTACTATATTACTGTAACTATTTGACAGTAGGTAATATTAAAAGTACAAGTAAGAAGCCAAATAGGTAAACGCAGCACCAGCAGGCGACGCGAAATCAGAGGTGGAATCATCATCGAATTTAATGGAAATCAGAGGTGGAATTGTGTAAAGCAATCGTAATAATTTGACAGTTCATAACGTAAGATTATTCTGTCAAACGCTTTGTTTAACTGACTTTATCGTACGTTATGAACTGTCAAATGATAAAGATTGCTTTACACAATTCCACCTCTGGCCAGTGTAGGGAGTTTAGGCCTAATACTCCATTTTCCTTTAGTCAATTAGAAAGAGTCGTGTTCCTGCAGTGGAGACTATATGACCTAATGATAAAGCCCAGTTTTGTTATGTTATTAGTATTATAAAGAAAATAAATGAGATATCAAACAAATTGGAGCTTTCTTGATTGATAACTTACTACCATGAGCTCTTATTTGTTGAAATTACAAGTAAGATCGCGCAAAGTTGGAATTAAGTTTCACTGGTTCTCAAACTACGTCCAAGTAAAAAAAAATAGCCAAAATATTATAAAACTATTAGAGTATTTTGTAACATGAGTTAGGCTTCCATAACATAATAATAATTTTATTTATAGGGTCTTTGATTCATTATTACAGCTTTTTTTATTGAACGAAACGAGATACTTCTTTATAAATAGGTACAGGAATTGAAATCGAATTGCGGACTTTGATCTGCATTTTATTTGAAATCTATCGCGGTGATGTTTATTTACTTATTTCCAATTAAATTATAAATAAGGTTTGCTACAAAATCTTATTTTCAACGAACAAATGCGAAGTGAATCGATTACCCTGACCCACAGCAGAAACTGTATGAGTAATATAAATACGCAGAAATTGATAGACATACAACAACTAGTGGTGGGAGTTTAGTAGTAAGATAATTTTGGTTTCAACTTGAGTTTTATTCTTGTTGCATTTACATACTGGGAACAAGAGTGTAGGTAATTCGCAAGTGTTTCCGAGAAAAACCTTGAGTAGTTAATCACCATTACCCTCCTAAAATATACTTAAGTTGTCTGTGTTTACAACGTTTTCATTCTATTTATTGTATTTAGTTAATAAATTTTAATACAAAGATTGGATCTAACAAAAAATGAAAAAGTATTTGTATTATTCGGCAAGAATCTAAAAAAACTTTTTGTGAACGACCGAGATCTACGTAGGTTACTTCGTCACAGAAGCTACTGTATACTGTTTTAAAAAACAATGTCAATTTTAACCAATGATTACTCATCCCTAAAACGAATAATATAACGGCACCAAAAGTTGATCTGTGTCGGGTACGGTACACAGCGCGTATATAACCGCGCGACCGCGTTGTGGTACACACACAGCCGGCATCATGAACGTGTGGGTAAGTTAAAAGTATTTTTTATTAATTGTTTTTGTTACTGTAACTGTTTACTTTTATCTCTGGAAAAAATGTGTCATTATCATTGGATAGGTTAACATTTAATTCTGAGAAAAACCTCTCATTATTGTGATTATATTTGGTATCATTTTAAATTACAGAAAATTTTGTGTTTCATAACTTTCGATCGCAAATTGATAAAACAACGATGAGCGATGAAATTGAATAACTTATTTGTGTTCTATAACACCTGTGTAATATCATGAAACGCAATAAGTTGATTAAAATTGATATTAACATTTCCCTTTGTTTGCTCAGTGTTATTTTAATAAGTAAGTATAAAACTTCGTGTAAATATTTCTAATTGTTTTAGGTCATCCTTATCGTCAGCGTCGCGTCCCTTTATCTGGTATCATGTGCTCCTCAACCCTTCGTACCTGATGACCCTCCAGAGTTTCCCAGGAAAGGGGAGTTCCCATGCAAGGGAGGCATTTGCAAAGCTAAACCGGACTCTGGATGCGACGGGTGCCAGCATGGACTGTCTTTACTGAATTCAAACTTTGAGACTGAATCGCAATACAAATCGTTTTAAGATTATACGTGTATTTTTATTTTATTTTAATGTACTTAATTTTTTTGGTACTAACTTTACTGTAGGTACATAATTTCATTATGAGGTAGGTAGCAGGTGCTTCAAAATGTAATTTAGGCACTACTAAATTAATTACATACACACACAGGCACTCCTCAGAACATTGTTATGGAAAACTTTAATTTTAAAGTTCACTATCTAGTTTGAGTAGATATCAATATCTCCTTAATTACCGACTGGTGTTACTAATGTTAATGGGCGGTAGCTCTCATCATCATCATCATCAGATAGCTCCTCTCTAAGTTTATGAAAATCATCACTAAATTGTGATTATAAATTATAACGATGGTTTTGGAATTTCAAAAATATTTTGAATGAACTTTGCCACCCTTTGGGCGATACCATTATTAAAGTTGAGAACCAGTGCCCTAACTCCGAGATTTGCCTCTTTATATTGATGTCTGGGTCCGTCTCGATGCCCTACATGCCAAGGTTCAGTGCCCGGGCGAGCAAAGGTCGACGTTCAAAGGGAGACGTCAAAGATTTGGGATCAAACATATTTCATAATGTTTTTGCTATCTGTGTCCATAACTAGTTATGGTAAATATCGATAAAATTTATGTCGACATAAAATCTACTAACAGTGTGTTTACCATGAGTTTACTTTAGGTGTGCTCGCTATCGAGTACGTCAAAAAAATCTATGAAGATATTATTTCTTGAAAGTAGCCGCTAGGGGCGCTGCGCAATATGTCATATGCCCGTATTCACAAACGATACTTGCTTAAGTGAAGCAGCAAATCGAACGCACAGCGTTGAATAGAGCTCTGTGATTGGTTCGTGTGTCACCCTGTGCGTCTACGCGCACTATGAGACCTCATAGTAATGTTTGTGAATACGGGCGTTAATGTCATTTTTTAAGCAGTTGCGAGCATACCTAACGTAACCTCATGGTAAGCACACTGGTCACTATGGAAATGATTGGGGGAGGCCCATGTTCGTTCATAATACTTAACCGTACTGAACCAACCTCGATTTTTTTAATTTGTTTCAACTTGTTATACCATAGACCACCTACAATGGAGTTTTAACAATTCATATTTCTAGCGGCCTAGGCATTAAATACGTATAGCTTGTATCGCAGGTACAAAACTGATGAATGGATACAAATTAGGTTTATTAGATTCAGTTCAGACTTATTGCAGAGGCCTGTAAAATATTTATTGTACTTTTTGACAGAAGGTAAAAGTAATAAATTGAAATATTATTTATTATACTACATTTAATAATCTCAAAATAAGATGTTCCATCGAGTCTAATGGACATCTCTGACTGTCACTGTGATCGAAAGCATCGGAGGATTAAATAGATGTTTTGTTTAAAATGTTTCTCTGAATACATTTTCTTTTTGAGATAACCCCAACGAAAAGGTCGAGTCTTTGCGCGTGGGCTTATAATATGAATAACTGATATGCCTTCGGGGATTAGTATTGAAAGATTTGGATTTTGGATTCGATTCCTAAAGGGTACAAAGAGATTAATTGGAAATCCTGATGTCAGTCTACAGTTCTACACTACATGAGCCGTCTGAATCAAAATTATTTTCAGACGGACATATTAAAGCCTATTGTAACGTTGCAGCTCCATTAGAAATTATTTACTAAAACCCGTCTATACATGTCGTTGGAGGTTCTCAGATCATGTATCTTAAAAAGTGTCAATTTGCAAAAAATTGCTGAGTGCAACGTAGGAGGTAATATCATGTCCTAATAAGACAAACGTAAGAAAAAGATAGGCCGCTACCAATCGATCAACATGGAAAGCATTGGGGGAGGCCTATGTTCAGCAGTGGACGTCCTATGGCTGAAATGATGATGACAAAGATAATTTTCTATTTGTGTCCTACCATAGCCTCGAACCCATGATCTAAGGGTCGAAAGAGCCTAATTTAACCATTGCCAAGTAATCGGCAAATAAGTATTTGATTTATCTGCTCATTTGGTTTCTACTGCAAGTACTATGCTACTACTACTCATACTACTGGGAAGATCAGATGTTATCCCTCAGTCGACTCATAAGAAACCCATCGAAAGACGGGACCTAGTATTCTGCTCTGCCCGAATCACATGACCTAGATAGACCCCCTGGTCTAGGCCATGTAATTAAAAACTTTGAAGCCTTGAGCCATAATATTATTTTTTTTCGGTATGTTGCAAGGGCCATAACAATTTTAATTTTTCTGCCCAAGAATTAAAATATAGGCTTAGTCTTAAGCTGTCGCGGGCCTGATAGATGGCAGTGGCGGGCCGGATATGGCCGCGGGCCTTAGTTTGGAGACCCCTGGCCTAGACGATTGACATATCACATAAACTGCTGTTCTTTTCACAGCTGACAGCACCAGAAGCGTCATGGGCGGCGTCGCTTCTGTGCTGCGGGGCGGTCTTCGGAGCCATCCCTACTGGCATCGTCTCGCAACACTTTGGGCGAAAGAAGACCCTGTTGTATCTAGCACTACCCTTGCTGGTGTCTTGGCTGTTAGTCGCTTCTAGGTAAGGACCTTTTTGTTGCTATTTATTTTAAAACCTTGATACTTTAAATACAAAGCCAATCAAACGACGGTGTTGGTTTCAAATTGCCGTTGAGGGTCCCGAGTTCAATCTCCGTCACGAAACAGCAGCCGATTGGCAAAAAATAGTACGACGACACGACATTAGACCGACGTGCTATACCAAGGTATCTCTAGTGTAAAAATTAAATAGGTTCGTAAGTGTTAAAAAAATCCACGAAAAAAGTATAATTCGGAAAATTTTTCTATGGGATTAGCAGAAAGCGGGCGTCAATATCGATTGAAACTTTCAAGTTTGGACAAGATAACGTCAGTCGTTGTAGCTACGTTTCAATATAATTTTTAAAGCACCCGTGTATAAAACGAATAACTCAACGACCTTATTCAAGCTACAGCTTTTCCAATGATCTAGATTAAAAAATGTAGCGGATGGAAAATACATTTTGTAACTTACATTTTACGTTAAAAGATTTCCTGCTTGATAGCGAAATTTCAAAGATGTAAACTTTATACAGGTTTTACCCATATTTCACCGCCGTTGCATGCTGCTGAACTTTTTAAATCAAGCTCAAAGCTATCAAACTGGAGCTTGGCCACGATTTTGATAGCAGTGGTGTCATTATAAACTTACAAAATATACAGTTAAAAACATTCAGAAGGCTTTAAAACTTAGTAGTTCAAAGCCAAAAACCCGCTGATTTTGTGTATATTCCCGAACTGAAACAGGATTTTTTTAGACAAGATTTTGATCTAATTTAGTGTAAACTTGTTGGTGACCTATTTAAATAAAAATAAAATAAAGGACACAACCCTTGGGTCAAATTAAACTATAACTTATCATCACTATAATTAGTTAAGCAGAACAATCGGTACCGCACAAGCCTCTTGATTTGGCCATTGTGCGCTCAATATCAATACTTTACTTATTACAAAATTAAACTTACCCCAAAAGCAGCGTGCTGCATCTGTAACAAAGAAAACAAAGCTAAATTAATTCATTTGTCCTCAGTCCAAACATCATTATTTTGTCCTCAGTCCAAACGTCATTATTTTGTCCTCAGTCCAAACGTCATTATTTTGTCCACAGTCCAAACGTCATTATTTTGTCCTCAGTCCAAACGTCATTATTTTGTCCTCAGTCCAAACGTCATTATTTTGTCCTCAGTCCAAACGTCTACGGGTTGTACGTGGGGCGTTTTGTCGGCGGAATAGCTGTTGGTGCGTTCAGCGTTGGAATCCCGCCCTACGTGGAGGATATAGCTGAGAAGAACTTACTGCCAACCTTGGCTAACTTCTACCACGTCAACCTGGCATGTGGAGTCTTTTTTGGCTATGTCGTTGGTGAGTACAAGACGAATATTTATTAGAGAACTTATAAAATACATGTATCAGCAAGTCAAACTAAAATGACAAAAATCAATAGAATAAAATCTATTGAAAAAAATCGTCATTTTGGGAAAGCCCCAATTACTATTAAGATACAGCAGACTACATACAAACTTTTAGGTCGATTGATCTATCGTTCGACTTAGTCTGTAGTTTTATCTGAATCTGAGCCTTAATGTGGCATCCTACCTATTAATTGAAAAAACAAAAGAGGAGTAGGTATAACAACAGAGCATAATTGGTGTACTTAATCTGGGGGCACGGCAGTGCCCCCACCAAGTCGAGCAAAAAAGCGGCACGGCCGTACCATCATTTTCTCGAAGCAATTCAGGCCATTTTCGACCGCCTGTAACTTCGTTGTGGATAAAACTAGAAGGCTGAATTTTCATTAGCTATGCAGGCATTGTAAAGACACGGTATATTTAAAATTTCATTCAATTTGAACCAGTAGTTTAAGAATTATAACGGGTCAAAGTTACTTAATTTTGTCACTCACTGACTGACTCACTGACTCACTGACTCACTCACTGACTCACCGATCATCAAAACTCTAAGGCACTTCTAGCAGACCTAGAAGCTTCAAATTTGGAATATAAGTAGTGTTTGGTGTATGAATCAAGGAAAAACTAAAATATTTGGGGGCACGGTAGTGCAACCGCCAAGTCGAGTAAAATTTTTCAATTTCGGTCCAGTTTTCTAGATACATAACTGCTGTCTACAAAATACAAAAAGAAATGAGATCCCATCAAAAACAATACTTGTCAAAAAAACCAAGTCTCGCAACTCAGTTGTTCTACGGTAAAAAGTTGTGAGATCCATGTAATACCAAGTCCAGGCCAGGAAATCTTTAACGTTTTACATAAATATATTGACTTGGCCATCGCATGAAAACACGTGTAAATTAAATTATTTAATGCGATGGCCAAGTCAATATATTTATGTAAAACGTTAAAGATTTCCTGGCCTGGACTTGGTATTACATGGATCTCACAACTTTTTAACGTAGAACAACTGAGTTGCGTGACTTGGTTTTTTTGACAAGTATTGTTTTTGATGGGATTTCTATTTTCTTCTGCGTCTTTTAGCCTTATCTTGTGATTCATTGTTACAGGCATGGTCGCCAGTATAGCCTGGCTTTCGTTCTTATGCGCCACGGTACCGATTGCATTCTTCATTGCTTTCATCTTCCTCCCCGAGTCTCCTGCCTACCTGATGTCCCAAGGAAAGTACCACGAAGCTAAAGCCGCTTTACGGTACTTCAGAGGAATAGACAACAACATTGATGCCGAAATCAAGGAATTGAAGGAGAATGTGAGAAACTTCGGCAAGTTGAAAGTCACTTTTAAAGAACTGCTTACTACAAAAATAACAGCGAAAGCGCTTATCGTCTCTTTCGGCCTCATGATCTTCCAGCAGATGAGCGGAATATACGCTGTTCTGTTCTACGCTCAATACATCTTCAACGCCTTCCAAATCTCCCAGAATCTGCCCGGAGCGGCCATCATCCTTGGTTTCTGCTTAGTGTCATCGACCTACTTCTCCACTATGCTCCTGAAGACTGTCAGACGACGCGTTCTTCTGCTGTTCTCCTTCTCTTTGATGGCTCTGAGTTTAGGCAGCCTAGCGATGTACTACCACTTGCAAATGACCCAGATCATGGACTGCAGTACAGTGATACCTTTGTTTGCGCTTTGCATGTTTGTAAGCGTGTACGCTGCTGGTGTAGGACCCATACCTTGGTTGATGCTGAGAGAGATCTTTCCCAAGGCGGCTACGAGACGAGCTACGGCCATCACTGCTGGATGCCATTGGCTGATTGCGTTCACAGTCATCAGGATGTTTCAAACTTTAGTCAAGAAGGTCAGACCTGGCTGGACGCTATGGTACTTCGCTTCTGTCTGCGTTCTTGGTATTATCTTCGTCTACTTCTTTGTACCAGAGACTAAAGACCGAAGCTTAGAAGAGATCCAGAACGAATTCGAAGGGATCCACAAAAAAAGGAAACACAGACATGTGATCGAAGTTGAGAGCGTGTCTGAGACGTGATTTCGTTAAACAAGGGTTTGAATCAAATTGAAATTTATGTATCAGTATTTAATTTGTCATGAATGTTACTCAGATTGTTTTGATACGTCATGCGTGTGCGCAGGTTAAATAAAAGCCACGCGAAAAGCGGTCGTTGTGCTGTAAGGTTTAAAGTTCAAAATGAATGAAGCATTTTGCTTAATGTAGAGATGGGTGGTTTTACCATTTTGATTCGAATCCTTACTTTATAAACAAAAGTAATATTAAGTTATTTGTATATTAGCTGTTATAGATTTACCAAAGTAACTGTAGTCATAGTTCAATAGGGATCAATCTATATATATAAAAGAAAGTCGTGTTAGTTACTTCGCTTATAACTCAAGAACGGCTGAACCGATTTAGCTGAAAATTGTCAGGGAGGTAGTTTAGAGCCAGGAGAAGGACATAGGATACTTTTTATCCCGTTCGAAATTAAAAAAAAGTCTGCTTATTTATTGCCATTAAGGCGGAACAAAGTTCGCCGGGTCAGCTAGTTTATTATAAAAGGCTTACTAGGTATAGGTTTAAAAATATATTTATTTTATTATTTTATTTTTATGAAAGTTGTACAGTAAAAATGTTTTTGAAATGTTATCTTTATTTACCTTTTTCCCCACCAAAAACATATTTTTTAGACAAGATTTCTGATGGTTGTTAATCTCTTGTCATTCATAGAACGATTCGATTTGTGCGATTTCTTCAATATCAAAATGCAGTTCACCTACTTTTCTATTAAATACCTTAATCATACTATCACAATCTCAAAGCTGGGCAAGTTTCTTAAAGAGCGAGAAGTTTTCTACCCGTAAAGTTTGTCATCCAAAGCCTTCTATTTGTGATTGCAAAAAGTAAGCGCTTAGCGAAGGTAGCTTGGGCGGGGGCGAGTTAATTCAATTCCTTCGCAAGTCAACTAAAGCCGTGGATGGATCGGGAAACTAAAATGGACGAACCCTACCACAGACCCGAAGAACTTTTCTAGGCCAATAGAAATATATATTTCAAACACAAGGTTGTTTAATATTATTGTTTCATCATGAAATAAATCTTCAAGAATTTTTAAACGTTGACAGTAAATGTTAGGTAATCGAAACATTGGGCCTATGTTCAACAGTGGATAAACCTGTGGTTGAAATGATGGCGATGATGAATCAAAACATAATAAACGAGATAAAGAAAATTTATGATTGTATAAAAAAATAAGTATGGAAATCCTTAGGGGAGGCCTTTGTCCAGCAGTGGACGTCTTTCGGCTGAAACGAACGAACGAACGAAAAAAATAAGTGGCTAAAACGATAGTTTAATAGAATGGAATAGATCAGTGTCATTTTTTTTAAAGTATGTGATATAGCTTTTGATGATAAAATACACTCGCGAGCAAAAATATGGAATCACCATCAAAATGTTATTTATTTATAAAAAAAAATGGTACCATTTTAAAGGAGATATTATAAACTTCAAATTGATACCATAGATACATACAATTAGTCATTCAGTTCTTAAGATCGCTTGGAACACAAAGGGGTGATTCCATACTTTTGCTCGTAAGTATAGTAATGAGGTACTGAATTTCGTTTGTTTCAGCCAAATGACGTCCACTGCTGGACAAAGGCCTCCCCAAGGATTTCTATAACGACCGCTCCTGCGCTGCTCGCATCCATGTACGAGTAAATCCTGCGACCTTCACCAGATCATTTATCTTTACTACTATGTTTTATTCAGATGGACCGACGATCTATTGAAGATCACGGGAGGTGCCTGAATGCGGGCGGCGCAGGACCGGTCTTTGTGGAAATCCTTGGGGGAGGCCTTTGTCCAGCAATAGACGTCAATAGGCTGAAACGACTACTTTTTATTATTTACTTCTGAGTGTATCCTTACTGTTTTCTAGACAGATACCAGTGCCCTAATTCACGTATGATGACACAGTCAAAATCTCGATGACGTTCAGAAGTCGTGCCATTGAAAAACAGTTCTAAATCCGTATTCACAAGGGTCATTTCGATAGAATGATTACCCGATAGGATCGCAACTCGACGATTTGTTGTCGTTGAAGTTTTGTTACGTGAATAAGAGTAGGCGCACACCGTTGATTTTTCGTCGGCCGATAGTTTAGTCGGGCAGTTGATCAGTATGGGCATGTATAGGAGTGCGCACACTACGCCGATTCGATTTGGCCGATTCTTCATACAATTTAAAATCGGACGCAACTATCGGCCAACTAAAAATCAACGTTGTGCGCCTATTCTAAGGCTACAGTAGTAGGGGCGACGCCACACCTGTAGGCATTCAAGCCGTTCTAAAGTGATTACAGACGCGTTTACTGAAGCGAAACGTTAGCGATGCACTTTCAAACTAAATGCGACTCAACTGTTTGTTGCTTCTTAAGTTAGTTATTTGCTGCACGTTACTCATCGGTTTAAATTCAAATTCTTTATTACTATGTTGTTGTATGTTAGGCCCTTTTCAGAGCACTTAGACACGTCCTAAATAAAGCTTTCCTTAATCACTACGCCCGTATTCACAAACATTATTATGAGGTCTCAAAGTGCGCGTGCACGCACTGGGTGATACACGAACCAATCACAGAGCTCTGTTCAATGCTGTGCATTCGATTTTGCTGCTTCACTTATGCAAGTACCGTTTGTAAATACGGGTGTGAGTTTCTTGCGCTGCTTCTTCTCACCACTGGCCCATTTGTTGTCCCGAAGCAGTGGGGTTATTACAAGGACGTGTAAAAGTGCTATTTTGATAGACATACACTAACATTACGTGCATATACACGTACACACACAAGTAAAGCTCACTCATTTTCGTGAGTTGCAAGAACTATACCTGACTTACTTGACTTAAGGTCCTATGTCCCCTAGATGGGGCAGAGGGCGTCCACAACAGTCCTCCATCGCGTTCGGTCTTGAGCTTCGCGTTTGATCTCGCTCCAAGTCTTGCCGATCTTTTTCACCTCGTCTGCCACAGTGCGCCGCCAAGTTTGCTTGGGGCGACCACGTTTGCGTTTTCCTTGGGGGTTCCAATCCAGAGCCTGCTTGGGGATGTGATCGGGATCCCTTCGGAGAGTGTGGCCAATCCAGTTCCACTTGCGGCGCTTGATCTGCTGGTCGATCGGAATTTTGTGGCAGCGTTCTCTAACTATACCTACTCAAGTCATTTTTTGTTTGTGGTTCAAATATGTTACACTCAAACACTAGCATTGTGTGCGAAGGATATTAACCTAAATGAGGTTGAACGCTATCATTTCTTATTGCCCCCTAGGGGACCATAACAACAGTGCATTCAGTGAGTCTCTCTTTCGCCATTATAAGAGGCCCCAGGCCCCTTTTCACGCCAACGTCGTCGTTCTTATGTATAACATAACTTAAAGGGTATTAAAATAGGAAAAGCCCCGAAGATACAATAATTGTTTTTTTTTTTATGCTAGACAAGGCAGGTATTTGACCGCAATCGCACCTGTGTACCTACCATGAGTTTACGTTAGGTGTGCTCGCTAGCGAGTACGTCAAAAATCTCTATGAAGATTTTGTTTCTTGAAAGTAGCCGCTAGGGGCGCTGCACAATATGTCATACAATTAAATGTCAATTTTTTACGCAGTCGCTAGCGAGCACACCTAACGTAAACTCATGGTAAGCACACTGGTGTTAAGTGAGATGCAGTCTAGGATGGTACATAATATCTGTAAGTGCCTATTCACTCTCGCCTTGAAAACGCCCGGATTATAGTGTTCGGATTATTGTGTGTTATTTCTTTACGAAAAGTACGAGTACATACTTATTGAAACTTGACTTTGAATATGTTAAAAATTTAACAACTTGCTAATTAGATATTGAGACAAGAATCAAGATTGATTGTGTAACGAAAATCCTTCTTGTGAAACCATCTTTATTTCTTATCAAATCCAATAGTGACTGAGTTTCTTGCGCTGCTGTTTCTCAGCACTGTCCCATTTATTGTCCCGAAGCAGTGGTAGGGTTATTACTGGGACGTTTAAAAGTGCTTTTTAAAAGTCTGCTTGCAAAAATAAAATGAGTTTTACAAGTTTTGAGTTTATTGATGTCGTCGGTCCACCTTGTGGGTGGACATCCCATGCTGCGTTTTCCGGTACGCGGCCTCCACTCCAGAACCTTGCTGCCCCATCGGCCGTCAGTTCCGCGTACTATGTGCCCTGCCCATTGCCACTTCAGTACCTCTAGCATGAACAGCTTTCGTCTTCGAATCGTTTGCGTACTCGATAAAATTCGATACTCAGTCTTCGAATTAAACAATAACGTGACAATTTTGATTCTCAAAATAAGTTTCGTGCAACCACATCTCATATTAAGTTCACTTTACGACACGTTCACAAGGGCGCTGTTGTAGTTTTCTTACTAAATCTTTTGATGGCGATTCGCGTACGCAAACGATTTGAACTCGAAAGTTATTCGTGTTAGCCGTACAGCTTGCTAATCATTCGGGCTTTGTCAGCGACTTTAGTTCGTTTACGGATCTCCTACCGCAGGCCGCTACCAACCGGGCAACATGAAAAGCATTGGGGGAGGCCTATGTTCAGCAGTGGTGGATGATGATGATGATGAGTACTAGCAATATTACATACCTACAATCTACACAACATAATAAAGTTTTAATCAGAAATAAAAATCCGACCCAACAATAAGAACCTACACCTCCACGGAGACACGTCAGATCTGTCGTTTAGCCTGTAACTAGTATGCTAGGCATTTCCCCAAATCTCTAAGACTATTTGACGATTTCCCGAAAGACCGTTATCCCCCAGGAATACAAAACAGCGACCCTCCTGGATACGAAGACAGGGTTATATTCTACTATCGTTAACGCTGAGAGAAACGTTTGAGGTTAAGAGCAATCTGCGCTCAACCTCAATCGTTTGTCCGGTGAAGCTGAGAAAGTCGGCGGCTATCAGCACAGTCCTTCCGGAAAAAAAAAAACTGAGAGAAACGACCAATTATATTGCAAGTGAACAGTATTGTATAATGGAAATGGACAGCATTTTAAAGAGATTGACATTAAATGAACTACAAACTAGAAGCAATAGTTTTTTTTTGTTTATAAGAGAAAAAAAAAGATTATTTCCACATTATTTTAACCGTTTTTTTATCTTATCATGGCAGCTATTTACATGCTTTATGTTTAATAGGACTAGTCCTGCTGACTTAAAATAAAAACGTTATGGAGTCGCTTTACACCAATAGCTAACGAGGGTCATGCACGATTAAAATTTTCGCACTCTTTCTTCTGATGTCTACTGGTATATTCAAACAATAGATAGCGTTACT